ATGTCCGGTGGTGTCCGGTTGAGCACACCGAACAACACCGGACATGGAACGGATATGAACGGATGAGAAACGGACGTCCAACGGAAACGAACGGACATCCCCCGGACATCACCGGACGCCGTCTGTTTCTCGTCCATTGTTCCAATCGGGTGAAGTGTGACCGAGGTCCACTTAGTCCAATTAGTCCACTTTAGTTCACTTTTTACCCCAAGAGGATATTGCAAACAATAGGTTGAATTTTTTTTCACAAGGATATGTTTCACCGATGGCTACTTTACAGCCTGAAAATGTACGATAAGATCTGCTAATTCAATTTGAAATGTGAAAAATGTGGAAACTTGGATTTTTTGGAAAATTACTGGTGGGCCAAATCTTTGAGGCTGGTGGGCCATTTGGCCCACCAGTTAACATGTTAGCCGAGGCCCTGAGCTCCCACCTGAGTAGAACTCTTCACAGGTTTAGACCTGGAGACAACACTTACTTGTGCACTGGCTTCCATCTCCCTCGCTTGTAGGGTTGCCGCCTCCGACTGTGCAGCAAGCTGTAGCGTCTTCTCAAGCGTCAGCTCAGCCTCAATCAGTAGCCTCTCCCTCAGTCGTGGCATCCGAGTCTTCTCGATGATCTGATCACGCACCATTTCCTCCATCAGATCGCCAAACCTGCAACGACTGGCTAGACCTCTCAGCACATTAGCATACTCTTCTGTCGTCTCAGTAGGCAGCTGACAACGTTGTCGAAACTTGTAACGTTCTGACACAACGTTTACTTTTGGAGTGAAATGAGCCTCCAGAGCCACCATGGCCGACTTGTAATTGTCACCAGTATCTTTGAGATTTTGAAAGACATTTTGACCTTCACATCCCAGGCAGTGCAGTAGTACAGCCCGCTTACGTATATCAGGCAAATCATCAGCCCCTGAAGCCAGTAAATACACTTCAAAAGCTTTGCGCCATTGCTCCCACGGCAAAACTGGCGCACCAGGTGTAGGCAAGAAAGCGGGAGGTGCCGATAGGGAACGAAAATCCGCCATGCTTCCGTCAATGAAATACTCTCTCGTCGCCAAATGTTGTATCGTCGGCTTCGGCTTCCCTTTCCGTACAATCAATCTCCGCTTCCACTTGCTTTATTCCCAATCCAACACGTGGCACACTCATCCAAGGTTCGGCCTTCACTTTTTCACACTACCCACAATGCATCACCGGACACTACCCATAATGCATCACCGGACACTGCCCATAATGCATCACCGGACACAACAGTGGGTTACGACACAATTTTAGCCATCATGCAGTGCATAGCGTGCTTGACCGCGGGAACACGGCAATTAATTAAAAAATGAACATCGATTTAAAAAAGGCACATCATCTTAACCCGCGCCCTGCTGGGGGGGGGGGGGGTGTTTGAACACCCCCCCTTGTGGTTTTTCGCGAATATCTCGAAAACGGCGGCGCTCCGCGCCGCCGTTTTTGGTACACCTTATCATACATCAATTCTACACATGTTGTGAAAATTTCAGACCAAGGTCATTCAAGGTCAGGTCACCAGGTCACTTGAAGTGACCTCACCTCATAAAAACTTTCAATGTCTATCATAGCTACACCGAGTGACCGATCGCTTTGAAACTTTCAGCGATTGCTAAGAGCAATAGCATGTACAAAATGTATATCTCATAATTTTGATATCGATGACCTAAGGTCAGGTCAATTTTGCGACCTCCCCATTAGGGGAAGTTGGGGCAATGCCGGAGTTGGGGCAAAGCCGAAATTCGAGATATTTCGAAAACCGTAAGACATGGATGCCACCTGTCAGTGATGCTCTGAAGCTTAAGTGACTACAATTATCGCATGTTTGTTACGAGTCGTCATTCGGAATACTTCGGCTGTGAGGGCGCCAAGAGCGTTTTCAAGGTACGCGTTCCTTGTACTACATGCGCCTTTGAAGCTGCATTTCTTACTCATTATGCTACCGTTTGTCTGGCCAATTCGGTCAAGTAGTCTTCAGCATGTCTTTGCATAAGTGTGCTGCCTATTTGAAATTTATACGGCACGTTGAAAAGTTATGGGCCTGCAAATGAAAGTATGGCTGGCTGGGGTAATGCCGAAAACGTGCAATTAAGCACGTTAAAGCACGCTACGTGGACTTTACTGCTGTAGAATAGCAACGCGAATTTTTAGTCACACAAATTACACTTTCAACCGACACAACGGCCTGTTACCTATAAGGAATTATTTACCTGGCATTTTCTTATTATATCACACAATTATAACTTCCAGTGTGCACCAAGCGTCCTCAAGCTCTTAAAACGCGTGTCAGCTTTGATAAATTCTGGATAAAGTTTGAGATAAAGTGGCAAAACATCAATGTCGGCATTCCCCGTAGACCATTTCTCCCATTTTCGGCTTTCCCCGCAGTCCGGGGCAACGCCGAAAAAGTCACTTCTTTGATATTTTTAGTTTGTGCGCTTAACGGTATGCGAATTCATCAAATGCGCCTGGTATGTTTGAAAGGCAAAAGACTGGCCTCTCGAATAACGCCAACAAGAATAGCTTATGTTGTCTACCTTGCGTGCTACGGGCGTCAGAAAAAAAGTATTCGGCGTTCCCCCAACTTCCCCTATAAGTCAATGGGAGAAAATTGAAATGCGCCTCTTTTGGATGAAAGACATTATAAACACTCCCAAACACCGAATTACAAGTGGTTTAGACACACTGAACTTGAAAATGGTATCTAACAGTTTTTCGTAAATAACTTTTGATAGAGGCATGCTAGAGCGATGAAAACGCCTTAGATGTGTTCAGCTCGACGATACGGATCGACTGATATGCAACATGACCCTTTCCGGTCAGGTCATGACCTTGACCTGAGGTCAAATTTTCAAGTTGACCTTTCAAGGTCAAGTTATAGTTCATTCGATGCGCCTTGACGAGAGGAACACGATGCCGGTAAAAGTAAGCTCGTACAAGGCTTGGGTCAAAAGTTATCGCAGAAAAACTGTTTTCGAAAAAATCGGTTATTTTTGCAGTTTTTGCCCCCTGCAGGCAAAACCGTTGACGTTAGGTCAAATCTGAGAGAATTACTCAGAAAGGGCGTTAATAGGGCTATCGAATGCGCTTTTCCGCGGCGCTGTAGCTCTATTGGTTCCCGAGTTATGCGTTGGCTTCTTGGAAATTTTCGACATTCGACCTGGAAATCGGCGAAATTTTGCCTTCAATGACCTCTGGTGACCTGACCTTTGACCTGACCAAAAAATTGACCGAAGTGATTTCGTCATTATTTTTTACGCTCTTTCGAACGCCGCCTTCCGCGTGTCGCTACGTGGCCCAGGAGCCGAGTTACAAGGGGGGGGGGGGTGTTCAAACACCCCCCCCCCCCTGCAGGGCGTGGAAATCCAGGACCCCCAGCAGGGCGCGGGTTAAAATGTCACTCAGTCCAGCGCCAGACTACGTCTTCCATGTCGGCAACATTTTTTGTGGAGTAAGGAACTTTTGGTCTAACGAGACCTTTGTAGAGCCGGAAAGATGATAGGAATTAGGGAGAGACATTGGTCTGAGTGGGCATCCTGGTATTCGGCCGGGGCTGAGCCCGTCACAGTGGACAGGCCACCCAGCCCCGCTAACGGTCACTGCACCGGACCATGGGCCTGCTCCTGGGGCGGAGTCGGGTAAAGGTGACCGTCCAGTCCGGATCAGCAGCTTTGCGGAGTGGAGGAAAATGATTTGACTGTTCTGACGATGAAAAGTGATAGAGCGGTGAGCAGCACATGTCGTGCCTGGCTAAATGCTACACCCGGGCTCCGGCCACCGGAGAGCCGCAGGCGGTGGCGGCCACAAACGCCATATGCTATCCGTTGGAAGCTGCCGAACATCCTGGCGCGTGCCGATAGCGATAAAAGGCGTTTTCTAAACACTCATTTCATCCCATTTTTGCCAAGCCAATTGGTCAGAACTGCGACAGGCTGCCTTCCATGGACGCAATCAGTGCACCCATGTCTGGGGGCCCGCAGTTAAAGGTAGTGTGCCAGCTTTCTTGGACCGTATGGAGTTAATGGCCCAGATAAGGAGAACCGGATTTTTAGAACTTATCCATACCTTCAAAACTCATGGAAACGTCTTAAATTCTTCAAATTTTGAGTACCCCAGTGCGAAATTCGCCCCGACGGGTTGTCGGTCGTACCCCAACCACATTTCACACCACTATGAACAATAAATGCACACACTGAAATCGCTATTACCGATATGCTCATCCAATCAAGTTTCGATAAACCCGTTCATCATCATCTCCTGCGGTTTCGAACACGCCTGTTAGGTGGCTTCTGATGCTCGTCGAGGTCGGAATTTCCAAATACGCGTGGTGCGTCGGGCCGCGCGCTCTGACTTCGGCCAAGAAAAAATGCGTCAGCTGATCATTGTCATTTCTGCCACTTGCGTGTGGTGAAATGGGGTCATAACTTATAAGACGGCTTTTTCATATCAATTATTTTACATAAAATCATATTTCAAACCATAAATAATGTTCGACAGCCAAATAAAAGAAACAATACCAATACGGGCTTACAGTTTAAGGCTCGACATTGTGTTGTCTACGATTAGACAGCTGATAACTCATTCCCGTACGTCGTATGGTCGTAACACTATAATGACCTTTGCTTATTGTCACAAGTGCGCCGCATTCGCGATTGTTGCCCGACGCCTGTTTGCAGGTGAGCCCACTACAGTTGTTATACATATCTAAAAACCGAAAAACTTTTAGGCGAAAAAGGCACTATTCCAGGCCCATTTTTGATTTTTTTTGCGATATTAGGTAAAAACAGAAGCTTCTTATCCTAGGAAAAATAAAATGGGAAATCTTTCAAAGGTGGCACACTACCTTTAATGAGAGCCCGAGTGACGCGCTCATTTGTGGCGGCTGTTGCTGGTCTGCAGCGGAGCGGGGACGGGGTGCTGGGCGACTGGCGGCTCCCGAGGCCGGTGGCCGGCGCTGACTGGTGCTGGCCGTTTCAGACTCTCCGGCTCCGGCTCCGGCTGCGGCTCCGGCGGACCCGTTCGGCGACTTTCTGGCGGCGGCGCCCGTCTCGGACCGGACGGAGGTGAGAGCGGCGGCGGCGGCGGCGGACCCTGCCGCTACGGCGGACCCTGCCGCGGCGGCGGACCCTGCCGTTACGGCGGCCGTCAGCAGGTGGTCCGAGGGTGGCCAGAGGGCCCAGAGGGTGGCCAGAGGGCCGCAGAGGGTGGTCAGGGTAGTCAGAGGGCCGACTTTTTGCGTTGCTGACTGCCTACGGGTGTGATATGAGGCTTAGGTACCGTGAAATGTCAAATGAAAATTGTTGTTACTTATTTATGCAATGCCGATCTTGCTGAACAGTGCCTAAATTACATGCGGCACCCCGAAATTGAACCGATCTGACGATTAATGTGCGCTATGTCTAATATGCCTCAACCTTGGTCACTTTAACCTGCACTACGACGAAATGGCTGCAATATGACCAATATCGTGCCGCGATTCAATATAGGGGAGAGGGGGGCAAAGCGGCTACCTGGGGCAAAGCGGCCACCCATCGTTTTAGCCCTTCATAGCTGGCGTCAGTTCCAATTTATGGTTTCCAATTATACTTCTCTTCACGGTCGTTCGAATGAGCCAGACCGGGGTCTCAGGCCCATCACCATTGTTCTGTGAAACACGGAAAAGCATTTCTTGCCAGGTTACCAACTATGTTTACAATTTTTAAATGTTATGTTATTCCATAACCGTTTGGAATTTTCATAAGCGTTCTTGTCCATGCATTGCATGGTTATCGTACATGTATACTACCAATTTCAATGTTTTTTACCCCACTAATAGCTAAGCTCGAATATTGTTGTCTCGGACGGTATGCGCGGGGCAAAGTGGCCGGGGTAAAGTGGCCACCCCCCAATTGGCCATAAGTTGTTTCCAGATAGTCTTGCAGATAGTCTTGGAACGCGCAACGGATTCTTGCGGGCAAGACAAAAAACATCTGACATGAACTTAATAATCACGATATGGACTTAACCCGCACCCCGTACGGCTATCGGTGGACCCTACCACCCGTAGGGGGGGGGGCGTTTCGGCCCATCCCCCTAAGATCTCGGAAAGTTACTGGCCGATTTTCTAAATTCAAACGGCGTTGGATAGCCCTAACACAGAACTACCTTGTGACCCAATTTCGTTGACCTCTGTCGAACCGATAACGTCACAGGTCAGGTCAAAGTTCGAATTTTCAACTTTACATGCATTTCAAGAAATGTGTTGTGAAATCGAGTAAAAGGCATGTTATTGAAAATCATCGATGGGGGGAATCGTCCGTAAAACACATAGTTTGCTACTTGAGGTCATTGATACCAGGTCAGGCCACAGAGGTCAGGTCACTGAGGGTCAAAATATGAAAGTGTCGTGTAATACATGTTTTATGGTCCATTTTACATGACAAAAGAGATTATGTGGGTCAGACAACCTTGATGGCCAGTTAAGGTTATGTTCTGGTGAAGGTCTGGTCAAGGCAGGTCAAATTAGGTCAAATTTTAAAGCTGATAAATATAAGTGGTATCAGTTCGATGCAGCTCGTCGCGGGGAGTGTAATGGTGATCTTTGTTTTGTGCTACGTTGTCTAGAATTGATAAAAATGAGTTTGAAAATTTGACGTTATCAATTTCGAACAGTGTTTTCGCTATAACTTGGCCAAATAAAGAGGCATCAATATCAAATTTGGTATGTGGGTAGGAGGTGGGAGGGACTATCATATATATTCCGTTTTTTCGAAATTCGAAAACTTTTGGGATTTTTTGGCTATGATATCCAAAAAATCACTTTTTATGTTTTTAGGGTTCAAAATTCAAAAATTCCCGAAATATGAGAGCATTTGTGTAGCCCTGTTAATTCTACACCTTTTATGTCTTGAACATTTTTCTGTATCTTCAAAGCGGTAGGCCTGACATCTCTTTCCGTGAAACCTTTTTTGTCGAAAATGGTAAAACATGACGTCATTTGCGGCCAACCTATCATAGCCTCTGATAAATGCTTTGGTCACAATGTGTAAAATTGATGCCCGGAGGGGTCCTGAAAGTTTGATGACGGTATCGTATACAGTCGTTAAGGAGATATCGACGGAAAAGGACAAGGGGGGCGTTTTGCCCCCGCCCCCTCCCCCTCCCCTACGGGGCGCGAGGTAACGAGGAATGTCCGTAATCGGAGCTAAAGTCGGAGACGGAGTCGATTTTGGAAGCTGAAGTCGAAATTGGAGTTGAAGTCACCCCCCAAAAAAAAAATCCATCGACTCCGTGACTCTGGTCCTAGGTAATCCATCGACTCCGTGGCTCTGGTCCTAGATAATTGCTTGACCTTCCGGGTCATGTCAACAACCTAAAAGCTGGGAAAATTGGGACCTGCTAGAAGTTTGTAAAGTGAAGTTATTTGGGGTTTTTGGGGTGCTGAATGCTGATTACGAATTTCGTGCTAGTTTTGATAACAGACGATGTTTTCATGTAATTGGAGTGGGTCTAGTCAGGTCAGGTCAAGCAGTAGGCGTCCTGCCGGCTATCGATAGCAGTGCGGGCGCGGGTGAATTGATGCAGCGTGCCATGTGGGCTGTAGCTGCAGTACCTATTATTGTTGGGCAGTCGTTGACTGGCCCCCTGGCCGCAGTGGCAGGTCCGTTGACCAGAGTGCGTGTGGTGTGCGTTACAGCCGGTGGCGGCAGGCGACGCTCAGCTGGACAGCGAGGAGGCCAGCTTTTTCGGCCAGCCGGCGGCGGCAGTGACGTCCGTCGGAGGCGTGCTGTCGCGCGACTCGATCCTGGCCCTCTACGGTCAGCCCGGCGGATCCACAGGCAAGTCGGCGCTGTGCCTGGCGCTGCAGCTGCTGTTCCCGACATTTCTTTTCCTGTTTTTTTTTTCTAGTACCAGTTTTAATATATATATATATATATATATATATATATATATATATATATATATATATATATATATATATATATATATATATATATATATATATATATATATATATATATATATATATATATATATATATATGTTACAGGCAAAGTGAAAACTCGGGCATTTTGCAAAATGCCTAGGCAATTTGCAAAATGCCTGACTGGCTAGGCATTTTGCAAAATGCCCAGGCAATTTGCAAAATGCCTGACCGGCCAGGTATTTTGCAAAATGCCTAGGCAGTTTGCAAACTGCCTGGTCCACCAGGCATTTTGCAAACTGCCTGAAATTATTTTCTCAGGCAGTTTGCAAAATGCCTGACATCGAACTCACAACAGCGACGATGCGTAAGCATCATTGTAAGTGCCGCCAACAGGGGTTAATCACAAGCGATATGCACCAAGTGAGAGGACACACAGTGAGACATTCTCCGGGTAACGCTGCCGAGTTCAATGTCACTGAGCCCCAGGCAGCGCGAGCGGCCCGGCCGACGCGCCGGCTACCGGGCGCCCGGCGCGGTTTTATCGGTAAACACGCGTTAAACACGATTATGTTTCTAAGAGCCTTGATGACTCTGGAAATACTTTGTGTGGATATTGATCAGAAAAGAATGTTCTTTCGATGTATGGTAGCTTGGTTGGCGAGCCACACGTCTACATTATCAATGCATTGTGACTGTGTAAAGATGAACATGCCCGTTGCATGTAAAACTTGTAATTTCTAATCGTCTTTTTATTACAAAGGTGTGCACGTGGGTCGTGGATGACCAAAAACTTGCTTTTCTGGAAAAGCGGAAAAGCCACATGTTCTTGTTGTCTATGGAATGTATCTCATCTCATTCCAATGCATTGCCATTGTTTTTTAAATGCTGTTTTTCCTGAAATGTACCAAAAATGGCTGATTTCTCAAGATATAGACCATTTCTTTCCACGTGACACGTGATTAACAAAAATGTTAATTGGATACGCTTGTCTCTGTTCTATCGATCGCTGGCAACCCCGTGTCGCTGCGGCCCTCTCTTGCCGTGATGTAAATAAGCACGGGAAACGAAGAATGTCGGGTCAATATTCGGCTGGTCGCCGCGTTTTTCCGCGCCCATGTTTCTTTGTGCCATGCTCCGCGCCCCATCGCAGCATTCCTACACACGAACGGCTACCACTCCGTATACGAAAATTATAGGGAGACGTTGGCTTAATCTACACCATTCAGTAGTGGTTCCATCTCGACGAAAGTGGCGCAAGACGTGGGTATATTCGTAAATATTGAATGTGTTTGGGGCTCAGGCACATGGGAGCGACATGGTCAACGCCTGTGGTAAACAAAAACGGTAAAATAAATCAATCACAACTCAGGCATTTTGCAAAATGCCTGACCCGCCAGGCATTTTGTAAACTGCCTAGGCAGTTCGCAAAATGCCTGGTGGGTCAGGCAGTTTGCAAACTGCCTAGGCATTTCGCAAAATGCCTGGCGGTCAGGCATTTTGCAAATTGCCTGGGCATTTTGCAAAATGCCTAGCCGGTCAGGCATTTTGCAAATTGCCTAGGCATTTTGCAAAATGCCCGAGTTTTCACTTTGCCTGTAACATATATATATATATATATATATATATATATATATATATATATATATATATATATATATATATATATATATATATATATACAACTTCAATCTCACTCCCGACCGCCAGTTCATTCAGACTGATGGCACGGCCATTGGTTCGAGGCTCGGCAAAAATTATGCTTGTACATATATGGGGCGATGGGAACAACAACTTCTAGAAGGGGTCCGCTTAAAACCTATGCTGTATCTGCGTTACATAGACGATATCTTCGGGGTGTGGCTCCATGGCCAGGAGGAGCTCAAGAACTTTCATGACAGCGCCAATCAAATCCATCCTAAAATCCAGGTGGATCTCCGCAGCTCTGAATCAGATCTAGAATTTCTGGATGTAATAGTTAAGCTGAGTGAGAAGGGATATCTGTCGACAGATCTATTTGAGAAACCGACCGATTCGAAGTCGTATCTCCATTTCAATTCAGACCACCCCACTCACACCAAGAAGGCGGTCCCATACGGCCTGGGCCTGAGACTTAAACGGATCTGTCAGAAAGAGGAGGACTACCAGAGACACAGGGAGAACCTGAAGGCGAGACTGATGGAGCGACAGTACCCGGCACCTTTTGTAGAGCGACAGCTGCGTAAGGTTGACAAGATCAAGTAAGCAACCAGGTAGTAAGGCACCGGAGAACAACAAGACAGGCCGGGTCCCCATGGCCATCACCTTTTCCCAGTTCCTTCCAAACATGACAAAACTGTTGAAAAGCAAGAGACACCTACTGCAGAGATCCGAAAGACTGAGCCAGATCTTCTCCATGGACCCAATGATTGCCTACAAACGGGGTAAAAATTTACGCGATATACTTGTTCATAGGAAAACGAGAGGTGCCGTATCGAGCGGGACTGAACGCAAGATCGACAGCTGTGGAAAGGAGTGTGTGACCTGCAAGCGCATGTACAGAGATGTGGAGCGAGTGGCAGGCGTGAGTCCAGGGTGTGTAACGACGTATGACAGGACAATCGGGTGCAGAAGTGAGAATGTTGTGTATGGCATCTGGTGCGACGTATGTAAATGTGTATGCTATGTGGGCGAGACCGGCGGGCGTCTTTATACCCGTATCCAAAATCATCTGTCCTCCATACGAGCTGAAAATCCAGCCGTCCCTCTCCCTGTCAGCAGTCATTTCCGCTCAGCAGATCATAACGTGAGCGACGTACGCGTCGTAGGGTTAGAGCGCGTGTGGCGGCAAAATGTAGAATACCGGAGGGCAAGGGAGCGTCGGTGGATGAGCCTGCTGGGAACGCGAGGAGGATGTGAGAGCCTGAACAAGAGAAACGGTTAGGTCTGCAGCACCGGAATGTGGACCCTATGGAGACCTGAGTTGTCGGGTCACAACGATACGTGATTTTTGTATTGCTCAATTTTTTTTTTTTGTCTGCGTAGTACGATCTATGTTACTCAATACCGGGATACGAATTATCTAATGATTATCTCCAAATCAGTGGTCGGGTAAATTCAGTCGCACGTTAATGCGGTTGTAAGACAATTGCGGCTCGGTTGTGACGATAACTGTATCCCTCGGCGAAACGGAATGGCCATTGTATTATCTGATGAAGCTGAGAATACATCAGCGAAACGTCTGAAGTTATTTAACTTTATATATATATATATATATATATATATATATATATATATATATATATATATATATATATATATATATATATATATATACGTATCAGCAAAGGGCCATATAGGTAAAAAAGTTAAATAACTTCAGACGTTTCGCTGATGTATTCTCAGCTTCATCAGATAATACAATGGCCATTCCGTTGGCGAAACGGAATGGCCATTGTATTATCTGATGAAGCTGAGAATACATCAGCGAAACGTCTGAAGTTATTTAACTTTATATATATATATATATATATATATATATATATATATATATATATATATATATATATATATATATATATATATATATATATTACAACTGGTACTAGAAAAAAAACTTTTCTAGTACCAGTTGTAATATATATATATATATATATATATATATATATATATATATATATATATATATATATATATATATATATATATATATATATATATATATTCATTCAAACAATGACCATTAAAAATCACGGCATGTTGTGCTTTAGAAAGCTTTCTGTTGAGTTTAAAACTGATAGCATGTGAATGAGCTTGTGCAGCGTTCTGGTTCCTCAGTGTGTCTGTTTAGTGTTTAGTATAAACAAAATGGCCGCCGCTACGAAAGGGTCCCTCATGAACACATTCTGCGCTCTGATACGCGACATGTGGACATCCTCGGACGAAACGGAGCGGGTGCTCACCACCGCACCACTCAAGTCGATGATCCAACGGCTCGCGCCGCGCTTCATGGGCTCCCAGCAGCAGGACGCGCAGGAATTCCTCAGATATCTGCTGGAGGGACTTCACGAGGACGTGAACCGGGTGACGAGCCGGCCAAAGCCGATCACGACCGACATCGACGACTCAATGAGCGCCAGTCAAAAGTCAATGGAGGCCTGGAAACGTTTCTTGCGCCTGGAAAACTCCAAGTTTGTTGACCTGTTCGTGGGCCAGCTCAAGGCTACCCTGCGGTGCACGGTATGTGGCCACGAATCGGTTACCTTCGACCCGTTCTGGGATCTGAGTCTGCCAATCCCGTCACGAAGTGGCCAGGTGCGCCTACAGGCCTGTTTTGACCTGTTCACCAAAGAGGAGGTGCTCGATGGCGACGAAAAACCGACCTGCTCAAAGTGCCAGAAGCGCCAAAAGTGCACCAGGAGCTTCTCGATCCAGAAGTTCCCGCGCATCCTCGTGGTGCACCTGAAGCGGTTCTCTACTCAGGAGAGGTTCGTCGGAAAGCTGAACACCACTGTCGACTTTTCGATGAACGGTCTGGACCTGTCGCCCTACTCGGCCGGACAGACGCCCTGCCGGTACAGCCTATACGGCGTGGCGAACCACTCTGGCACGCTGCTCTCAGGACATTACACCGCTTACTGCCGACACCCGTACACGGCAGAGTGGTACGAGTACAACGACTCGCGGGTCCACGTGATGGATCAGAGAAACGTCAACAGCGGAAAGGCATACGTGCTGTTCTTTGAGCTGGCCGGCTCGAAACACCGCTCCGGCTCGACCCACGTCTAGTCATCTAGTCACGGGAGAGGAGCCTGCGATCGTCACCCGCTCGGGCCCTGTGTAGTCGCACCGGCCGGCGCACATTCTGCACGGACAACTCTAGCCAGCGGCCTATCGTGATTTGTGATATTGGGTGTAAGGTGTTGTTAAAAACCAGAACGGTCTTTTTCATCGTGAACTGTAAACTGTAGAGTCATTACATATAATGCTAAATATACCCACACCAAATGGATTATGGTTAGATAGAACTAGCGTTGTATCATTTTGAAAATGGATATAGTCGATTATCCGAAACGTCAATGACTTGTCAATATAAACGATGACACATGCCTCTCGGTGAACTATTGTTCAACTTGAATTCAGACTTAAAAGCATTGGTAAGAAGAATCGAAAAACTCAACAGAAAGCTTTCTAAAGCACAACATGCCGTGATTTTTAATGGTCATTGTTTGAATGAAGATATTTTGCCTAAATTAGCAATTGGCCATTTAAATAGAAATTAAAGCAACTTTACGTTTCACCATGTGTATTCATGGCTTCATCAGAAAATACAGGCCTCTCCGCTGCGCCAAATAATACGACATATAAACATAAAAATCACCAGAAGATAAAAAAGTACGTGCTCTTATTCCACTCCATGACGTCCAGAGCTAGATGGAACAGCTCCGACTTGCTTACGTGCTCGTGGAATCCCCGGAAGGAACAGTCAGCGATCAGCTTCATCCCCTGTTCGGTGAGCCGCAGCCATTTATTGCAGCCATACCGCGGTGCACACACCACGGCTACGGCCTCTGGTAGCAGCCGTTGGTACCCAAACTGGGTGTGAAGGTCCACACTGCTCAGAAATGCTGTCTGAGACAGCTGTCTGAGAAGAATAAGTCCCACATGAAGTTCTTGGAGACCTGCCAGAAGGAACGCGTTGTCCCTCGAGGCTTTAAGCTGAAGTGGGAGTGCCACTTCGATATGAACAGCGAAGAAGTGACTTCCATTGTGGACAGGGCCTCTCACGACCTCGTCAGCGCGTCCATTAGCCTGGCGAAGGAGAAGGTGTCAAAACTGGAACAGGAATATGAGGTATTGCTCCAGCTGACGCACAATTCGACTGAATTCGACCCACGCCAATCCGCAAGGATCATTGATACTAACATGTAGATTTGTCTTGAATTCCTATGAGGTCTCAGGTTCACCTCTCGCATCTATTGACTTTTCTGTCTGGCCAGTGCATGTGCAGTTTTGTTTGTGACTTGCGATACCTGCGATAATTGCGTGTGGCGGGTGACCTGTGTGACCAGCTGCTCTGTGTGTATCCAATTCGCGACTCTGATCAGCTCCACCTCGGTCCCTGACAGGCGGGAGCGGGGGCCTGGTCGGCTTTCCAAGCGTGCCTGCCGGCGGATACGCCCCGGCGCCTGTCGCCAGCTCGATGGCTGCCGGCTACGGCTCGGTGCCGGTGACTGGCGCCCCTGCCGGGCCGGGGTACCCGCCCGGCGCGCCGGGGTACCCGCCCGGCGCGCCGGGCTACCCGCCGGTGACGGGCGCCCCTGCCGGGCCGGGCTACCCGCTCGGCGGTTATGCGTACGGCCTGGTGCCGGCCGGCGGCGCGCCGCTGCAGCGGACGACGCCCTTCCAGGTGAGCCGTGCACGGCGGCCAGCCATCGACAGTGAGTCGGTGGCAAAGTTCAACTCGGTCCTGCGCGTCTGTAAATCACTGACATGCTGATATGGGTGTATCGTCGAATTCTGATTTTAAGTTATCGCCATTACCAGATTTTATTAGTCCTTGACATGTTTGAAGCCGTACACTGAAAACAATATAACCCTAGGCCGGCGAGTAAACCGGTGTTTCACGGGTACCCCTATCCGCAACCATTTTTAACCACCCTCCCAGGAGAAGTGCTAGATCCCATTGCGGTGTAGTCGTACTTGCTCTGAGCGGATATAACCGCTCTCAGCGAACATGTCCGCTGAGAGCAGGGACGACTACACTGCAATGGGACATTACTGTACTCCTGGGAGGGTGGTTAAAAGTGGTTGCGGATAGGGGTACCCGCGAAACACCGGTTTACTCGCCGGTCTTGAGTTAAACTGTTTTCAGTGTAGGATACCAATGAGAAATATGGGAAGTAAACTAATCGGTTCATGATTCGACTCGGAGTCGTATATAACCTAGGCCGCAGCCTTTCTACCAAACATCGGATACTCTTGATGCATGTGAGTGAGCCCCGCTGCACGTGCAAAATACAAAAGGAAGAGGTGTCAAGTTCGCAGTGACTGGGGCGATTATCCTGAAACGTGGCACGCATGTTGACTCCCACCGAGCAATGCATATATTGCATATCCATATGTCACGATTGCTACTGCATGTGCGCACGTGCATGTGGGCCCGAGCCCCGAGGAGTACCTTCCAGACCTTGAAAACGGCTTGGCCGATTGCGCTCAAATTTGGCGCACGGCTGGGGACCGGTTAATAGGTTGCCGAGTCAGGGTTGGCAAAATGCCGGCGTAAACTTAGTTTATGCCAGTCGGTGGCAAAAACTAGTTAATGCCAGTTTATGCCGTCAAAAACTGACATAAACTGACACAAACCCTTATTTAGGCATTAAATGAGGGTTTAAATAGTTTAAATAGAGGATTTAAGACTGTCTCAAATAGTTCCACTTCACGTTCAAACTATTTGTTGGGGATACAGGGTGGACCAAAAAGGATGGAAACATTTTAAACTCGTATAAACAGTGTCCCAAAATTTGCCAGTTCGGGTGGGAAGTAACATCCAAATCAAAATAATTTTCCACTCTAACCTCCAATTTTCCAGAGCGATTTTTCACTCCCTAGTTTACCAATTAAGAGCATCTGTGTGCACCTTGTACCTCCCTCCATATACGATTCAATGATCTTTTAAGGCAGCTCCCAGTCCCACATCCTCCAACACTCACAAATTAATTGTTAATATCTGTTTTCTGCTCTTTTTTGTACACTTCTAACTGGCTATTTTCCACTCTTAGCCCTCTTTATAGTGACAAACATTCCCCTCTGACACCCAAGCCAAAATATAATTTTGGGACACTGCGTACAAAACATGCAATATGGCATGCAGGTGACTGAAAATGATACCAAACGAGAGTACATTTTGTGGAAATTCATAATGACATCATGCTCAGCTGCTTTCTCTCGTTTTCAGTCTCTCACAGTAGATGTTCGAGGAGACCACCTTTGCGAGACAGGCACAGATCGGCCCGCCTGGCGGCTGGCGCGATAGCCCGACGACACAATGTCCTCTGGTATGACTCGCACAGCCTTGGTGATCGCTCTCTTCAGGTCACTAAAGCTTACAGAACCTTCTTAATAGGCCTGACCGGTGACCCTTGAGATGACCCTACAGGAAAAAAGCCATAGGGTCAGGTCGGTTGAGCAGACCGGCCAGTTCCACTTCGGTTCGAGGGTGGGAGCGACGTGGCTGTTCGGCCAAACAAGCGGCCACCCTGCCCCAGGGCGCCGTGCCCTCGGACGCTCGGTCCCTGACACGGGCAGTTCATCGGACGGCCACACGTCAGTGGCGCGAAAACTGGCCCGACTCCTTTTTTAAGACTATCTTCGGGAGCACCCTGCCGCTCCCCATCCCCGGAGAGGACCGAGAGGCCGCCATCTCGGTGCACCAGTTGAGGGCGGGCCACTGGGGCCGCTCGCTCCAATACCTGCACCGGATCGGCCGCCACCCCTCCGTGGCATGCCTGCAGTGCCCCGATAAGCGGTGCCCCGCGGCGCTCTGCGCCGTGTGCCGGGAGGAGGCGGACGTGCCGGAGCACGTCTTGCTCCGCTGCCCGGCCCTCGCTGGCGCCCGCCTGCGGCTAACTGGCAGCATTTACGTCGACCCGTCGCGGCTGCGGGACGCCGACCTGGTGGCTGCCTTGGAGGCCGGCTACCTTCGTCATAGGGAGCCTCTCGGCTATGGTCCTCCGTAAGGAGGTCCCAGGGGGAACAACAACAACAACAACAACGTGGCTGACCTACCAAGCGACGCTAAAGAAGTTCTTGAAGTGAGATCAAGCGACGTATGGCAGTATCTTGGACCTCATGTGGCTCCAGCAAGGCGGTGCGTCTCCTCACATAGCAAAACAATGCTCAAGTGGATCGAGAACCACTCTGGTGGCCGGCTGATATCCCGCGGTGCCAGTCGGAACTGGCCCGTCTGCTCACTTGACCCCTATGGTTTTTTTTCTGTAGCGTCATCTCAAGGGCCAGGTCTACAAAGAAGGTCCAGCAAGCTTCTGTGGCCCGAAGAGAGCGATCATCAAGGCTACCAGAGGACATTGTGTCGTCGGGCTATCGCGTCAGCCGCCAGGCGGGCCGATCTGTGCCTGTCTCGCAAAGGTGGTCTCCTCGAACATCTACTGTGAGAGACTGAAAACGAGAGAAAGCAGCTGAGCATGATGTCATTATGAATTTCCACAAAATGTACTCTCGTTTGGTATCATTTTCAGTCACCTGCATGCAATATTGCATGTTTTATACGAGTTTAAAATGTTTCCATCCTTTTTGGTCCACCCTGTATTTGAGACGGTACTTATGTCATGTCAAGTTTAACTTTAAGGTGATCGATCATGTCACCTTAAAGTTTTTAAGCGTAGCCACTGAAGTTGAGCTGGTGACTTGATATTTTATGATCTTGAATAAAAACAACAGCACCTCCGCTTTCACCTCCTCAACAACAGCATGTGCAGTTGCACCCTCTGTTCCGCCCTGACGGCCCCGTGCCCTCTGTTCCGCCCTGACGGCCCCGTGCCCTCTGTTCCGCTCTGACGGCCCCGTGCCCTCTGTTCCGCCCTGACGGCCCCGTGCCCTCTGTTCCGCTCTGACGGCCCCGCGCCCTCTGTTCCGCTCTGGCGGCCCCGTGCCCTCTGTTCCGCTGTGACGGCCCCGTGCCCTCTGTTCCGCTCTGACGGCCCCGTGCCCTCTGTTCGGCAGCAGCTGCTGGCCGGACCGTACGCGCCACAGCCGGTGAGCGGCGCGCCACAGCCGGCCAACAGTCCGCTGCAGGTCAGCCAGCCGGATAGCTAGGACTTCACACTAGTCATGGAAGTCGCCATCGGGATATTGCATGGGATTGTATAATGTTTATTTATGGGGCTATGTATGCGAATCTGAACCCACTTGGGACCTAAACTGTGGGGCCTAGCCTGAACTGGAATTGAACGAATTGAATTGAACCTACTGAAGCTACGTGCTTTATACGGGAATCAGAACGTTCACCTATAACAGGAGATATCCTGATATTCAGCGACTCAGTTAGACGGCCGGCAGTGTTGTCGCTACTTGTTGTGGGCGCCAGGCTGAGTGGGCCCGGGGCGCCTCTGTCCGGCAGCAGGGCCGGCTGAGTGGGCCCGGGACGCCTCTGTCCGGCCTGTCCGGCAGCAGGCTGAGTGGGCCCGGGGCGCCTCTGTCCGGCAGCCAGGCTGAGTGGGCCCGGGACGCCTCTGTCCGGCCTGTCCGGCAGCAGGGCTGAGTGGGCCCGGGACGCCTCTGTCCGGCAGCCGAGCTGAGTGGGCCCGAGGCGCCTCTGTCCTGCAGCCGAGCTGAGTGGGCCCGGGGCGCCTCTGTCCGGCAGCCGAGCCAGGCTGAGTGGGCCCGGGGCGCCTCTGTCCGGCAGCAGGGCTGAGTGGGCCCGGGGCGCCTCTGTCCGGCAGCCGGGCTGAGTGGGCCCGGGGCGCCTCTGTCCGGCAGCCGGGCTGAGTGGGCCCGGGGCGCCTCTGTCCGTCAGCGGAGCCGGCTGAGTGGGCCCGGGGCGCCTCTGTCCGGCAGCCGAGCTGAGTGGGCCTGGGGCGCCTCTGTCCGGCAGCCAAGCCGGCTGAGTGGGCCCGGGGCGCCTCTGTCCGGCAGCCGAGCCGGCTGAGTGGGCCCGGGGCGCCTCTGTCCGGCAGCCGAGCTGAGTGGGTCCGGGGCGCCTCTGTCCGGCAGCCGAGCCGGCTGAGTGGGCCCGGGGCGCCTGTGTCCGGCAGCCGAGCTGAGTGGGCCCGGGGCGCCTCTGTCCGGCAGCCAGGCTGAGTGGGCCCGGGGCGCCTCTGTCCGGCAGCCGAGCCGGCTGAGTGGGCCCGGGGCGCCTCTGTCCGGCAGCCGAGCTGAGTGGGCCCGGGGCGCCTCTGTCCGGCAGCCGAGCCGGCTGAGTGGGCCCGGGACGCCTCTGTCCGGCAGCCGAGCCGGCTGAGTGGGCCCGGGGCGCCTCTGTCCGGCAGCGGAGGCGGCTGCTGACCGATGTGTGCTGTTGTGTTCGCAGCTGCAGCAGCAGGTGGCCGGCCTGTCGCTGGGCCGGCCGGCCATGGGCCCCGGCGGTCAGCCGTGGCAGTGAAGACGAGCTGCTCGCCGCGGAACGAGTCGGCTGAGCTGCGGCTGTCCTCGCTCCGTGGCGCGCTCAGTACAACGGCGCACCGGCCAGAGGCGGACTCGCGTCGGCCGCCCTTGTATCCGACCCTGACCGAGGTCGATTATGAAATGGACAGCTTTATCGTGTGGCGTCAGTGCGCGCTGTTCTTGTCCTGTCCTGGGTGGCTGGGGGCGCACGGTATTTATTTAGGGGGCGCCCAGCGTGTGGGGCCGGCCGGACGTGGCTTATCGTACATGTATCCAATAAATGGGAGTGACAATGGCACAGGCCGTTTTACTGCTGGCTGTGCGGACGGAGGAGCCCGCTCTGTTTCAGGCTCCGACCAGCTTTAGCCACGGTATCTTGTATTTTGTATTTTCATAAATCACCAACAGGCTTACGCCCAGTGACAGGTGAAGTCACACGCACACGCATCCATGCATATTGCATAAATACCCCCCCCCCCCCACACACACACACATACACTATCCTTCGTATCCGGCAGCGGCCGACTCATATAACGCACGCCACGGTTGAGGCATACGCCGATACCTCTCGCGTGAGCCGCCCGAGCGAGTCAATGGAAATATCTGACTTGGGCCGAGCGGTGAATGTTGGCAAGAGTCTGAAGGACCCGGCTGTGTTCACGTTTTCGGTCAGCATCAAGCTCCAGCAATTGATACGTACAGGGTGTCCCATAAGTTCGTTCTCACATTAAATTTGCATGTAAAACAGAGTACGTTGCGTTTTGATATGTTTATGACACGTCAATGTGTTCCTCATTTCATGGGCAAACACATGGACACATGCTGCGGCATGCCAACCGGCATGTTTGGCAGCGTAGCAGGCTTGAAGTTAGCCCATACTGACTTAACCCATAACGTGATCGAAGCTTGAGAAGTGTGTAATGGCGACTAACCGATTAGACAAGTTTCAGCGTGTGTAGCATGGTTGTGCACGTGATGCTACGCATTTCAATTTGCAAGTCTGTGCGGCCGGTAAGTTGCTGCCTAGGTGGAGAAGGATTCAACTATCCTGAAGATGGAAAGGACGGATTGGCGGAACAGCCCGTCACCACCGAGGCGCGCCGCCTGTTTCAGAGCCGCCGCGCTGCGCTAGACAACGAGAGCGGGACGAATACCTGCGCGTCAACCGCCTCTGCCGGGCCGCCATTCGCCGCGACTGTGAGTCCCATTACACTGGTGAGATAAGCAGCGTGGACGTGGTGGTCTGTGGCGTGTGTTACAGCCGGTGATTGGTCGCAAACAGCAGCGATGCACGGTGCCTCACACAGTCACAGCTGATGCTTTGAACGATTATTACGCGTCAATAGGTCAACTGAGTGCCGCTGATGTGCCGCACGCTCCCACCCCGGTGCCAACATTGCTCCCTCGTGTCTTGACCAGCTGTTTCAAAGTCTCTCCGATCGAGTTCGACACTCTTTGTATCACCTTGGCGAACATGAAACATTCAAAATCATTGGGTATAGGTACTCGTAGATGGCATCTGTATAACTATAGACCATATGCAAAGGTACTTTTTGGCATTGGCCTGCCTTTACTTGGTGTAGTCAACTCTAGTCTGATCACTATTCACTGCTACCGTACCGGCATTAGTGGCGTCAATTTCAGAAAACCTTTGTCCAAAGTCCGTCCAATGTCCAATGCTTACGTCGACTGTCCGTCCAAAAATGTCCAAGCCAGCCATTTGTCCAAAGATGTCCGACACCTACGCAATAGTTAAACCTCAACACTGTTATTTAATTTGCTTTTCATCTACCGTTACCAGCTCAAAAGTGCTAATCATATGGAAAGCTGAGCTTTCCAACAATCAATGTTAAACACGATTACTTTTTAAAAATGTTGAGGTGTTTGTTTGTTTGTTTGTCGTTTATTCATGATTATGGGCATGGACAATGGACAGAAATAAAGTTGAATTGGTGCAAAAGCATAAACTTATTACGAGGCACCTCTTCAACAAAACAAAACGAAACAGAGCATCACCGAAATAAACACACACACACACCAGGTCCCACGCGCAACCCCGCCGCCCCGACAGACCTTCCGACCACTACAGCTGGACCACACGCGCTCCGCCAGCCTGCGGCCTCCCCCCTTACTTTGTACGGCGGCCCGTCTGGCCAGACCGGGACGGTGCCGTTCCATGGCATATGCCGTCCCGGCCCCGGGGAGAGCTGTGGGATACCTCCCCGGACCGGGGAGATCTGGTGGATACCTCCCCGGCGCTCCAGACGGGCCGCGAGCCCCCGCCCGCACCCCCGGAAAATCATCTTTCCCGGGGGTGCCCCCTAACCACCGCCCGGGCGAGGGGAGCGCCGACCCGACCCGACAGGCCGGCGCCTCGCCCGCCCGGGCGGCCGACCGGTCCCTTTCAAGTGGGACCGGTACCCAGGTTGGCCCGGATGGGTCATAGGGGCGGGGGCAAGCGATTGTCCAAAGTTGTCCAAAGCCTGCTGCCACGGTCCAACCAAATTCCGAATTGGACATTGGACAAAATCGGAATTCCGAAGATTCAAGTTCCGATGGACACCACTAACCGGCATCCTGGAAACATCTATACCTATGTCACACCCATCCCTAAAGGGAAAGTAACTAAAGGTCCGGCAGACACTAGGCCCATTTTGATATCCCGCGCACCGACGGGGGTCTGCGCCAACTTAGAACCGACGGGGGGGCGAATGACCGCCCCCCTTAGATCTCGAGAACGAAGCAAGGTAGCGACAAACGGTAAACGGCATGGGATACGCACGGACAAGGTCTACAATTTTTACTAAGGTCATTTTCAGGTCAGGTCAAAGATGACGTCACAGGGGTAAAAAAAGTCAAAATGGCGGCGCTAGATATGGAGTTTTTCGCGAATAACTTTCAAACTAGTCAAGATAGGAACAAACTAAGGGCAGCATCGTGATCCTCTCGTCAATCCGCATTGAATGATATATATATATATATATATATATATATATATATATATATATATATATATATATATATATATATATATATATATATATATATATACATATATGTTACGGGTCATATGCTAACTTGGGCAGTATGCAAACTACCCGGGCAGTATGCATACTACCCAACAGCCCGGGCAGTATTGCATACCGCCCGGGTAGTATGCATACTACCCGACCCCTTGGGCAGTATGCATACCGCCCAAAAGCTTGGGCAGTTTGCATAGGTAGGGTAGACCGGGGCAAGTCGCCCCGCCGAGGTAAAACGCCTCACCGATGTTTCTCGGAACTGGCAGAGTTCTGGGGAAACATCCTCTCTTCTATATAACGTGCACTATATGATCATTATATGAGCAGACTGGAAAGAAATTGTGATGACTCTTTCGGGAGATATAGCCAAAAATGTGTTTTTTAAGTGATTTTTATGTTTTGTTGTCAGATTATGTATCATGGCGTTCTTTTATGGTCCACATCAGGTTAACGACTTTTATGTGTTTTGAACAACTATTGTCTAACGCTTATCATGCCGGGTTGGTTCGTGTTAAATTATGTCTTGCTGGAGTGCAAGGCGTTGTTCTCTGACCGAACTACGTGATGGGGTAAAACGCCCCAGTAGGTCGCGGGGCAAAAAGCCCCTGGGGCGTTTTACCTCATGTGTTGTTCGGGCATATTGCATGTTTTGTACTTTCTAATGTTCGGTAGCTGGCGAACAGTAAGTTTCTATGCCTTTATGTGTATTTTTCTCAGCAACTGGATGGCAAAGGAAGTATTTTGTTAACATTTGCATTGCAATAATTTATTATTTGGTCTAATGAGGTAGGTGAAAAACCTGCTCATACAATAGTGTCATAGCTGAACACCTGACAGGATGGAATGTGCTAACTTCAGTGCCGTGCCTCCAGAGATCTAACGGACCTCTCACATAAGATTTAGCCAACTACCATGTTAAATCTTTAATCTTAAGTATGGGGCTACTTGCCCCAGGCCGTGGGGCGTTTTGCCCTGGGGTTGGGGCAAAATGCCCCATTTGCAGTTGCTTCACAAATCACTTCCTAGCTTGGAGTCCGATCATAAGTGAATGAATTTGAGGGGTGCAATTTAAGGTAAAATGTCCAAAGAACGTATTGAGCACAAATTTGGCCTTCCAGGTGATGTGTGACAAAATTTATGTAGCAAAATAAATTATCTGGGGCGTCTTGCCCCAGGCTACCCTACTGCCCGCTGTCCGACTTAAAGTTGTGTAATCCATGTCCACATTAAGAATATAAATGGCTCTCTAGATAACAATACATAGATCGACCGAGAAGAATTTTTGTCGTCCAACGTGATTGATCGATCTATAAGATGGAATGAGGATTGGAATAAAGTGTTGAAATTACTTTTTCCCAAATCCATTGTTGAATAACCAGTGGCCAACAAGTCATTTTGTCATTGTGAAGCGTGAACTGAGTAAAATGAAACGACGACGACAAAATTTGACGTCATCAACTTTGAACAGTTCTTTTTTCGCTATAACTTTGCCAAAAAAGAGGAATCAATATCAAATTTGGTATGTGGATAGAAGGCGGTAGGGACTACCTATCACATATTTTCCGCTTTTTTTCGAAATTCAAAAAACAACTTTTTTGGATTTTTTGCCTATTATATTAAGAAAATTACTTTTTTGATTTTGGGGGGTCAAAATCTTAAAGTTTAAAAATCCGAAATAGCAGTTTTGTAGCCCTCTAATTCGACACCTTTTATACCTATTCTTAACCTTCGCCTCAGTGGGGGGGGGGGCATATGTTACCACCCTGTCGCGTTTTTGCGTGTGAATAAAAAACCGCGGCGCGTAGCGCCGCGCCGCTTGGGGTAGCTTTTGGTACATCAATTTTGGATAATGTGTGAAATTTTTGACCCCAGGTCATGTCAGGTCAGGTCACCAGGTCAAGTTAACTGACCAAGCCTAAAAAAGTTTGCAATCATGTCCAGCCTACAGTGTTTGTCAGAAAGGTTTCAAACTTGGTGGATTGCATGCTGTTATGGGCGCCTACAATTTGTATATCTCGGATTTTTTATATCAGTGACCTAAGGTCAGGTCAGTGGCGTGACCTTTCCATTGCAAGTCAATGGAGAAAAATGAAAATGCCTCTAGATCCGTGTGTACGCATCGGAACAGTCCAAATATTTCAGAATCACAATGATTTAGTCCACTCGTGATGACCAAGGTGTCATTTTTGCTGATAGCCTCTAGACAGGTCATCCGAGGTCACTTGAGGCTACAAACAGTTTTTTGCCAATAACTCGCGATTGGAAAGAGATAA